AGGGAGGGAGGGAGGGGATGGTAGGGGGAAAACAATGGAGGGGGTAACAATGTTCAAGAGGAAGTGTACTCATTACCTCACTCATGTAACTGTAACCCTCCGTATAGTAGCTATACAATAAAAAAATTAATTAAAAAATGTTAATGGCAGGTTTGATTGGAGGGAAATGAAGATAATTTATTCTCTTCCTATATAATGTTACTAGTGAAAGGTTTATTGTTGTGTGTGTGTGTGTGTGTGTGTGTGTGTGTGTGTGTGTGTGTTTTGGGCCTGGGGCCTGAAATCTGGGCCTTCGAGCTGTACCTGAGCTTTTGTGCTCAAGGTTAGCACTCTACCACAGCCACAGCTCCATTGCTGGCTTTTTGTGGTTAATTGGAGATAAAAGTCTCACAGACTTTACTGCCTGGGCTGGCTTCAAACCTCAGTCCTCAGATCTCAGCCTTCTGAGTAGCTAGGTTACAGGTGTGAGCCACCAGCGCCTGTCACTAGTGAGGATTTCTTCCCAAGTATTGTTGCTTTCTTCCTTAGTGAGTCTTTCTCCCCGCCCAGATGTTGAATCATGGTGGTTCACTCATGTGTAAGAGGAATGGCCAGGAAACCATCTAGAAGCTCTGAGCTCATCGCAGAGCCCAGAGCCCTCCTCACCTTCAAGGTAGCATGACCTACTTGAGCCACTTGTGAAGAGTCCACTGGCCAGGTATCAACATCTCCAACCTCTCTACAATACCCACAGCCCCAGCTAGGACTTGTGTGGTCTCCATGCAGGGTAAATGCCCTCCCCCTCCCAGGGCCTGCAGATGGGGGCCACAGGAGGAGGCCTCACTCACTGTACATGTGTTTACCCATCTCTGGTTTAGGGTCAGACTCGGCTTCTCAACTGTGCTTGGCTTGCTTGCTTGCTTACTTGCTTCCTTTCGTTCCTTCCTTCCTTCCCTCCCTCCCGCCCTCCCTCCCCCCCCTCTTTCTCTCTCTCTTTCTTTCTTTGTCGGTCGTGGACCTGGGCGCTGTCCCTTAGCTCTTCAGCTCAAGGCTAGCGCTCTACCACTTGAGCCACAGGGCCACTTCCAGCTTTTTCTGCTTATGTGGTGCTGAGGAATCGAACCCAGGGCCTCATG